TTTTGGGTCAAATTGAGGGCATAGTTGGGAGGGGAAGGTGTGGGACTTGGCTCCAGTCTCCTGCTGGGAGTCCAAGGGGCCTGTTGCAGCCTGCCTGCCTCCCTGCCTGGGGAGACTCAGGGATGGTCCTTGGGAGGCGGAGCCATACATCCACTTTAGACTGGTGTGGGTGGAGGATGCATTTCAATTTGGATGTCGGAGAGAAGGGAGGGGAAGGAAGGGTGGGTGAGTTCTCCTCCTGCCCTGGATTCTTTGGGGAACCGGCGCAAAGAGGGCTTCATCAGGTAGGACTTGGGAGTCAGTTCTCCAGAAGGCTGGCATATGGATTGATAACTGGCTGGGTGGGCTCATGCAGAAAGATGGATGTGGTCTCTGCAGGAGATAGCTGGAGACTTGTCTGTGGTGAGACAGGTGAGCTTGGGTCTTGGCTTCATCTCTTTCCCCAGTAGACCTTGTCTTAAAAGAGAAATTTTAAGCTGGGCAATGGTGGCACATGCCTTTAATCCCAGCCCTTGGGAGGCAGAGGCAGATTGGTCTGTGAGTTCAAGGCCACCCTAGTCTACAGAGTGAGTTCCAGGACAGCCAGGGCTAAACAGAGAAGAAACCCTGTCTTGAAAAAACAATGACTGAATGAATGAATGAATGAATGAATGAATGAATAAAAATTTAAAAAGTTTAAGGAATCAAGTTCTGATCCTGGTTTAGGGTGAATCTTACACAGTTGGTGCTGCTCCTCAGGTAGGAAGGAAGGGCAGGTAGCTCTGCCCAAGGGAGCACTTGGGGGGGGGATTTGGCTCAGCTGTCTACACTGTCCACCTGGCAGTGACTCTTGGAGTAGGGTGTGCCTTCTGTCAGCACCCTGTGGCCAGCCTAACTGTTCACTCTTGAATCCTGCTCCGCTGTCCTCACTGCCATCCGGTCCTTGGGACCTTCCTTTCTTGGCCTCTCTCTCCAGCAGAGAGAAGCTTGTGATCGTGAGTAGGAAAGACTCATATCACTGCAGGTCATCTGAGAAACTGAAAGTCGGATGCTGGGAGTCCCTGGCTCACCTCTTCCCTATGGCCCATGGCCCTCTGACCTGGAGTCTATCGTCCGTCTTGTTCCAGTGCTAGAGTGGTCATCAGAGGCCAGCCACACGGTACAGATCCGGAAATAGCCTCCTCGACCCTTTGTATGGTCAGCTAGTCCTCGGCTTTCAAGTTTACCTATGCCCTGGTTGCTTACCCTAAATCAAAGCAGCGGCTTCCGGGGGCCGTGACCAATGCTTTGCTTGTGGCCCTGTCTGGTATGACATCCTTTAGGAGGGTGGTAGTGGCTGTGAGAGTTTACAGGCTGGAGTCCAAGTGCCTGAGTGTGGTCCGGCTGCATAAGGTGTGCTCAGAATGGCACCCGCTGCATAGCACTGCCAGGGATAGGGGAGGCTTAGAGCACTTGGACCATCGAGCAAGCGGCCACCCTTTTGTTTCAGCTCCAGGGGATTTCAAGCAGGTACTCTGCTTTCAGCTGGACCACTGGGTTTGCAAACAGGAAGATGTATTTAACTAGAGAAGTACGGTCCCAGAGGAGCGACTCTCCGAAGGAACCTTTCCGACACTAACCTGTCTAACTTTACCCTGACAGTTTGTGTGGTATGGGGCGCGGCAGTGGGGACTCTTGCTGTACGGCTAATGACCTGGCTGGCTGTGAAATCCATTTGGGACTTGGGTCTTTTCCATTTAGCTTCCCCATAGGAGCTGACCTGACCCCCTGGGCTAATCTGGGAAAGGTCGCAGGCCTCAAGTCCTTGCCTGGTTGTTTTCCAGCTGTGCCTGTTGGGGGGGTGGGGACAGTGGAGATCAAAGACAGGGTAGAGTTTGGGCCCGGTCTCTGAGCAAAAAGGGTGCATCTAGTTAATATAGAGACTCCCTGCTGGAGAGAGGAAGCAGCAGCAGCAACAGCACAATTTTCCCCTAAGGCTTAACTCCCTCTGTTTTGGGCAGAGGCAAACACCAGTACCAAGGCTAGAGCTGCCCCTGGGCCCTCACCTCTCGAGTGACAGGCTTACACTGAGCACCTCGGAGGGCTCTGTGAAATCCCTTAGCTGAGGCAAAGTGCTGAGACCCTGAGAAGGCCCTGGCTGAACCATAAGTGGTTCTGAACATCCTGAACTTTTAAGCTTAATAGAGCAACAGGCTGGGGCTATGGCTCTCTTGTCAGGGGGCTTGCCTAGCATTCATGAAGCCCTGGGGTTGAGCCTCAGCACCCCATAAAATAGGCGTGGTGGCCTGAGCCTGCAATTCCAGGAACCGGGAAGTGTTAGGTCAGCGAAAGGATCAGGGTCATCCTTGGGAGTTGGAGGCCAGCCTTGGGTAGTGGAGACCCTGTCACCAAAAGGGGGTGGGGAGAATCTAGTTAAAAACATCAACTAGTTTACCACGCTAGTCACCAAACTGGTCCTAATGATTGACCCCCTGCTTATGTAACCAGTAGCCAGGGGCAGAGAGTCTCAAGTTAATCACAGCATCACACAGTGAGATAACAGAAGAGAAAACCAGAGGCAACCACACTACGTAGCAGAGACCTCCAGGTTTGCAGCTAGGGGGGAGGTTTCTTAGAGAGAGAATTGAGACCAGAAGGTTAAGCACAGCATGGAGTAGGTATGGAGGAATAAGGCCAGCCAGAGTGGGCAACAATTTGCAAAAGGCACAGTCTGAAGACTCTGGTTTCTAGGTTAGGGCAGAGACACAAGAAAACAGGCTAGAGGGACAGTGCTTTATGATCCTTATTACAGATCAAGTCTCTGTCTGCAGGCCAGGCCTGGTCTGGTGGTTTCTGAGGCCTAGGCTGGAGTTAAGAACACTTGGGACAGTAGAGGTGGGAGAGATGCCAGGGATTTCTCCTTCTCTTGCCCCCCTTCCTCTTTATTTATTTATCTATCTATCTATCTATCTATCTATCTATCTATCTATCTATCTATCTATCT